CTACTGGCCATGCCCAGGACAGCACATGGGTACGTGCACAGCAGGGAAAGCGTTTTGTCAAGTAACGGTACCTACAAGAGGAGGGAGAAGAGGCTAGGAAAAACGCCTAACAATTGTTGTAATTATGGCCTTTTCAAACAGCTACACGATGTCAGACACAGTGTGGGGGAAAGGGCTGGCATAGCTCACCGTGCTGAACCTGGGGTGGATGCTGTTCCAAGCCAATGATTAATAGTCTGCTAGGATTTATTTTGGCATTGCAAAAAACCGAGCACGGTGTCTCAGAAAGATGCCAGATGGACAGCGTGGAGCAGAGGCCCCAGCCTGGGGTACCAGTAGCAGCACTTGCTCCTTAGCTGTGGGACAACAGCATCCCAGCAGGGGCCGGCTCCTGCCCAGGATTCCCCGAGCCGATGTTAGCAGCCTCGGCACCCACCCAGTGCCATGCAAAACACTCAGCGTGTCTGATCCGAGCACCAGTGTGCACATAGGATTGCTGGCTCCTGTCCTGCTGAGGCACAGGCACATCGCAGCAGCCTTGTCTCCATCCTTGTCTCAGGTGCATCCTCACAACAAATTCCTGGACTCATTTCTATCAGGAATGCCAGGACAAAGCGCTCCTCCGGCAGCCCGGCCCGCTCTCCCACTCCCCTTCCCATGGACTGCACCTGCTCCCACTCCTGCTGGCAACAGGACACCACCTCTGGCACCTGTGGGCTGAACACAGGAAAATGCAGTCCCTGGACAGGACACCCTTCATGCTGTAGGGCAAGTGTCCGGGGTGCCTGATGCCTTCAGAGGACACAGCAGGGAGGTGGCAGCAGCGCCTGAGCCCATCCAACCGCTCACCTCGCTCGTCCCCTTGCACAATAAGAGGAAGATCTTGGCTGCCCACGTGGTCAGGTACAAATGTCTCCCTCTGCTAATGCCAACCTATCTTCCAACATGAAGCTAAAGATAGAAGGGAGTCCAGCTGGGCCACAGGATACATTGTTTGGATCAGGCTGAGAATTACTTATGCAGTGTTTTATTAACCATAATGGATAGCTGTGCCTGGTAAAATGAGCAATAATCTTGTTCAAGGGATCCGCACTGTTATTGCCAATGCTGCAACCTCTCCTTGCTGGTCTGCTGGCCAAAACCCTTTCTGGAGAAAGGGATGACCAGGACAGAAGAGCACAAATCAGATAGGAACAGCTCCTTCCCCTCTCCTCCCCTCAAAAAGAACTGGAGATAACGTGGCAGGTAGAGTCCTCCATCCCACAGCCCCTGTGATTTCCACACTTCTCCTCGTCTCAGTCCATCAGGAGCGCTACCTTACACAGCACTTACATCGCCTGCAGCTCCACATCCAGCTCGGACGCTTCCCAGGGACAGAGCTCTGCCAGGGTAAATGGTCCCTGGCTAATGGAAGGAAATAGAGGAAAAAGTAATTTACATCACAGCTATATTTATTCTGTACACTGCTATTTTGTGATCATCTATAATTTTAATCTATTAACAGTAAGAGATGCATCTGTTCTCCAAGTTTGTCTTGTTTATAGGTAATATGATCCCAAGGGGATCATTCGAGGGCATTTGCAGAAAATCAGTATTTCCACAATTGTAAGCCAGCCCGGAAAGCAAGGGGGGAGGCACCTGGGGAGATGTGGCACCACACCTGACAGAGGAGCTGCCTTTTAAGCAGGACTGGCTCTGGTGCGTTGCATGCCCAGGATCAGCAAAGCAAGCCCAAAGGATGCTGCTGGGCAGCTTCCACAAGGACAAGACACCACTGCCCTGCTTAGAGTAGCGAGATGCAGAGCACAGACACTGCCACAGTGGCCAGGATCCTCTCATGCCAGATGTCTGCAAGGGAAGGAGCAGAAATCCTTCTTCACCTGAAGGCACCATGTGAGGGCAAAGCACTGCCCACCTCCACTTGTTTCCCATATGACCTGTAGGTTTTCTGCAAGAGCTGTCTGATGGGAGAATAACTTCAGCTGCCTCCCTCCATGCATTTCTCCAGCCCCTTCAAGTCCCAAACGCTCTTTACTGCGAGGCTCTATGTTTGCCACCAGTTTGGGTGGAGATCCTAGAGAACGCGGTGCCACAGCTTGGTGCTTCATGCACCTGAAGCATCCCCTCCTGGGCCTGCTCTCCACCCTGCTCCAACAGCCCTCACACAGCAGGCGTGGAGACCGTGATTCAGCCCAGTGAGCTCTGCTGCAGCCCCGTAATAAATAATCATTAAAGTTAAGGCAAGTACCACGTTCAAAGGGAAAAAGCAGCAATTACAGACCAGAGCGCGTGGCGGAGTTATGTGAAACGCTACATGAAAACACACTCAGATTTAAAATGCACCCCAACTCTACCATCATCATTTACTTTAATTATCAACCTAATTAGCTCAGCAGTCAAACTGGGGGGGGGACATGGAGCCAGGACTGCCACTGGGTCACAGCTGAGGCTCGCGGGGGAGGAAGCCACCAGCACGACCCATTGCCTGTGGGGGCTCCGTGGACCCTCAGGGGACATCCCTAAGCCCGTATGTGACCCAGGAAGGGTGCAGGTGGGGGGCTGGAGCAGGGCAGCGAGGCCCGATACATCCTGCTGCAGCCATCCATGGGGACAGACAGAGAGACCAGTCCCTGCCAAGATCAGGTTTGAAGCCCTGAATAATGGAAATGCAGCTCGCTGAAATTCCGCCTGCCTCTGCAAACAAAGCCTCGTCTGGGCTCTGCTCAGGGTGCCCGGCTGTGCCAGCGAGGCTGGCGGTACAAGATCCCTGCAGGCACTCCCAGCCACCACCGCTGTGCCTTTGCGTGGTGCCCCAGACCCAAGGACCTTGCTTATCTGAACAGGCACCAGCAATGCTGCTGCTCAGCCTCCTGTAAACAGCAGGCAAGGGGAAATAAATAAATAGGTATCTCACAATGCACACAAGTGCCATGGGGGCTGTCCTCTTTAACGCGTGCCATTGTGCCCCCGGGAGCAGCACTCAAAAAGCTCTCCTTTGAACTGTTTTCTTCCAAGCCCAGGACTGTACCCTTGCTTTCCCTGCCGTGCACAAGCAAGGCTGGCAGCAGGCACCAGCCCCCCTGCCACTCTCCCCCAGGGGGTCATTCTTGCCTGCACGTGTGCAAGTGCAAGGCACTGGCTCAGATTCTGACGAGCAGCCACCTATCTCCAGAAATCACAGCCACCCCCAGCAGCTCTGCCCGCCAGGAGCTGGCTGCTGCCATCACGAATGCGGGGAGATTTTCACGGCTTAGGGCACTTGCAGAAACGTGAGCTCCAGAGGCCAGAGCTATGCTTGGTATTCTGCGTGTTTGCAGCAAACAGTTTATTGGAAACATTTAGCCCTCTTTCTGTTCATTAATAAAGTTCAAACATACTTTGGTTTTCTTCATATTTGCTCATTATTTGAAATTGCACGGGGATGCTTTAATGGGCACGTTTTGGCACAGAGACTGCCTGCCACTGCTCGCAGCAGCCAGAGACACAGCTCGTCCCCGTTCCGGCCCCGGCGCTCTGCGGGACGGAAACCTGGCAAGGATTCAGGCTCCTACTGCCGCCCCCAAGACCTCCTCTTTCTGCAGGCTTTTCTGCAAGCAGGCTTTTCTGCAGATGCAGAAGCACTTGCTGAGAGCAATTTAAAAGGGTTTGCAAACACCAGCATGGTTCTTATTGAAACAAATATCCACCAATCTGCACTGCGCTCAGAGAGCACAAGCTCTGAGAAAAACCACATCCCCCCAGCTGCTTGGGACACGGTGCCATGGCAGAAGTGTCAGAGTGGGAACAGCCGCCTGGCCACAGCCAGCGCTGCCTGAGCCCCCTGTGCTGTGGGGCAGGCACCCAGCACCCAGCCACATCCCCCAGCACAGGGGTTTCTAGATGAGGATCTGGCACCTGCAGCAGAAAGCTGGTGTGGATGCTCCCAGTCTTTGCCAAAATTTCCTGGGTATTCCAGACCTGCTGTAGTATTTGGGTACTTCAGATATATTGCAGAAGCCCAGTTATTTCAGGGACTATATGGTGATGGATAGCTCGATGCAAGGAAAGGCCATTATAGGCTGTAAAAAGCTGCAGTCTTCCTGCTTGCTCCTTGCTCTGTGACAAACCATCTGCTTTGCCTGCACCTCCCTTTGTTTATCCTGCTCAGCTCAGCTGAAATTAAAATTGACAAAAGCAATTTCTCCCGATCAAGTTGGAAAGATAAGGAGAGTGGCTGCCGCGCGCAGTGCCATAGAAACCTGGGCTGCTCCAGTGTTCAGCCTCCTCCTCGTGCAGCAGCGAAGTCTGGGAAGGGAAGTGCCCAGCTGCAGGGGAAGGTCCCCCTGCTAACGCTGAGAAGGAATGCAGATGGATTCAGCCACGGGAGAGCCATCTCGCCAACACAGCGCTGAGAAGGAGGTCTGTTTATTTGGGCTCCAGCCCCCTCCCTTGGATTCAGGAGCACAAAGTAGCCCGTTTGATTAGAAAAGCACACTTGGATGGATTTGGAATTATTTCCTGTTTGAGGGGAGGGAGGGGGGACAGCCTGCTTTCTGCGAGAACACTTCTGGAGGATTTGAGAACCTCCCAGGCTATATTTACTCCACCAAAGCACTTTCCAGCTCAGAGCACTCTGCAGGACACGGGTCCAGGCTGCAGCTGTAGCCTTCCATGGCACAAAGCCACCAGAATCCAGTCCCCACAGCCACCCGTTACCCAAGCGCAGCCCCCCACGACATAGGGCAGGGACCCTCGGAGCTCCATCCTGCTGCGACGGCACCACGACCACCAGCACCATGGCAAAGCCCAGCAGGGGCAGGATGCTCGCACCATGACGAGCCCCACACACAGCCACATCCCCGTGTCACAGGGCCACAGGCGCAGGGATGGGCTCGCTGGAGGCAGGGGACCATCATATTTCTACTTCCAATTTCTGTAGACATATTAATAGCACGAGGCCTCTTTTCTCCAAGATGCAGGAGCAGCTGCTTGAGTCTCCACTGAATTAAGCTAAGGACAAGTTTTACGTTTTGAAGAGTGATCTTTGGGGTCTGGTATTTTTTATTTTATTTTTTTTTAAACCTGAGAGCAAAGAAAGACATCAGAAAAACATCAAGCTGTGAGACATGCCATTTTCCCTGTGCTGGTATAACTCAGGAATAGCTGAATAAAACTGCAGTACTAGTTCCTGACAAATTCCCCAGTGAGCTAAGTAAAGGCTGGAGAAATTCTGCCCAGAAGGTAATTGCTTTTTTTTTTTTCCTCCTCCCTGAAGTTATTAGAGTTGCAAGAGGGCCCTGCAGCAGAAGGCCCTTGACTTGCACGCAGGTCTGCTGCTCCTCCCTCTGGAGGAGCCCAAGCCACTGTCACAGGCTGCGTGCGAGGCCAGCAGGCTGCGATGACCAGCTTTTCAGGGCAACGTGGCAAAGCATGGAGACAGATGTCACAGCCCTTCTCCCCACTGAAGGCATGGGCAGAGGACAAAGGAAACTTCCACAGCCTGAGAGGAGACCAAGGAGCACTCCAGATGTGCACAGAAGCCTTATCTACAGAGTACACCTTCTCTAGCCATGCAGAGCTCCATCGCAGCTCTGTGATATCAGGATTACACACAGAAATCCCACTGCTCCACAGTTGGAGCAAGGCACTGCGGTCTCTGGAAGGAGACACCAGTCACTAATGACTGGGAATTAATCAGGATGACCGGTTCAATTGCCTTACACATCAAGGGGCAGATAACGCAGATAAACCCCTTCAAAGGGAGGAGGAACTGGAGTGATGACATGAGGACATCGATCGAGCTATTCTGGATTTGCACAGGATATGTTACATTAGAATCTGGATCTGCTCCTGGGTTTGCCCAGGATCAGCAAGATTAGATCTGGATCAATTCTGGGCTTACCAGGGCTGAGCAAGATTAGACCACAGATCAGCCTCCGTATCGATCCTGTAATTTGTCACTACTGCGCTTGGGAGAGAAATCCCTCGTGCAGCTAGCGGAGGCTGCGCTGGCGTGACGGAGGGGAGGTGTCAGCCCTGCTCCCCGCACAGCACTCGTTAGGCTTGTCATTCACACGGCACGGGCACTGGGTCCTGTAACAACGCGCTTATGATGCAGCAGCATGCTCTGCCCCACATCTCGATGAGAACAGATCTACTCCCAGACACAAATTATGCATTAAAATGGCATTTTAGGAGTCAGAGGGAAGAATTCACCTGACTCCTCATCTGTCTGCAGCTAATGAGGCTCCACAAATCATGATCACAATGACAGGGGCCATCCCCAGCCACCAGCAGGTGGAAGAGCCAGCAGGGCCACCCCAGGAGGCTGGCAGAAAGAGCAAGAGCAGCACAAGGTCTGTGTAGGGAACTGAGGAGAAAAAGGTGCATCTGAGGGAGCTGTGCACACAGAATTGGAAGTGACACTCAGCACCACCAGTAACCACTGCCAGCACTGGCCAACGTGCTGTAACATTTTGGTGTCTGCTATGGGGATGCATCTTCACCTAGACCTTGCTGAATGTCCCTGAGATTTTGAAGGGCTTGATGACAAGAACCAGCTGTGTTTGTGTGAGCTGCTTTACAGGCACCCCTGCCTGCAAGAGCTCAGGAGGACACGAGACACAAACAGCCTGCTGGCAGCCGTGGGGCTCACAGCTGCTTACTGCACGGGGCAGGGGGAAGCGCTTCTGCCAGCATCTCGGGTCCCCGCGAGCAGGGACTTCTGCAATATTGCAACGGTATCAGCAAAGACAGAGATGACATGAGATTAATGAAATAGCAGCGCTCAGAGGTGGAGCAGGGCAGGATATTGCCCTGACAATATTCTTGGCAGGTAGCTGAGCACAACCACATACACTGGCCTCCTGCCTCTGATTTCTTGCTTCCAGCAGCAAGGATTTCTTCTGTCTGCATCTTTTCTGTGCTGTTGTTCCCTCCTAGGCAAGTTTTAGGTGCACGAACACTAGATCCACAGCTTGTTTTTTTGTTAGTGCTACTAGTACAGCGCTTGCTACATGTTTATCCAGCCATCTCCAATACTTCTCTGCACGCTTTCTTGAGGTGCCCACGTCTGCTGCTTATCAGCACACTACTGAAGATGTCGTCCGCTGGAGACCGAGCGCCCTCACTGCAGAGCAGATAGCACTGACAAATACATCACCAGGTCTCAATGGGAGATCTGTGGAGGAACTGGGGAGGGGCTGCAAGGGCAGCAGGTGTTGGGTGAGCACCCCCACCCCCTGAACAAGCCAGGGCATAGGTTTCTCCTGCCTGCCACTCCAGGAGCCCCCCAAGGAGCTCAGGCACCTTGTACAGGCACAGGTTTCTGCAGAGAGCCCCTGAGCACGATCTCCCACCCCCCCCCCCCACCCCCAGCTTATTTCACTAAATATGTTCCAGTTAATGCAATTTGGTCTCACATCGAGTAGCATCAAACACAGCAGCTGCCAACCAAATATGAAAGATATAGAAAAAAAAGCAGCTCAAGTCCCTCAGTGGTGGTTTGGGAGAGGCAGCACCATGCCTGCAGCACCTGTGCATTGCAGAGGGCAAGCAATTCCCTCAGCCCCACGGGACGCAGATGGGGCATGCTTGCGACTGGGAGCAAATAACACAGGGGCAGAGGGCTAAATCACATTTGTACAACCTCCTCCCCCATGTTTCTCTGCATTATTTAAGAGAAAATGTGTTCTCTTCTAGTCTTTATTCTTTCCCTTCTGCACTCGATTCCAGCTGGTGGGTGAATTAAATCAAACCACCCAAACCCAGGCTCTGAAGCTGCGTGAAACCATGCTCCAGGTCTGATCCAGACCGAGCAAGTCACCCCAATTTCTGTGCTGACCAGACATGGAGCAGCCCAAAGCTGGGCTCAGCAGAGCTGACAGCAGTAACACATGGACTGAAAGCCTAGAGCCAAGCACTTGTAGCTTTGAAACAGATGCAGATCCACACTGGGAGACTTTGGGAAGCAGCAGAGCTTTATGCTGCCTGGAGATCACATACTTGTGATTGCATTTGATAGCACTACCACTCAGGGCTTCCTAAACACCCCCAGCCAGCCCATAACTGCCCCACACCATCACCTTTCTGGAGCAGCATCCCTTTCCCCAGGGAAGGAGCTCTTCAGCTGTATGGGCAGGGGATAAGGGTGGCCATAGGGCAGCCCCATACAGGGCCAGGCACAGGCTGGGGATGCTGCTCCCACAGCAGGGCACGGGTAAGGGCAGGAGGTGAGAGCAGGCACCAGCATGCTAACGTGCATCTCTATTGGAAAGCCTGCCCCTGCAGAGCTCAATTGATTTTTTTAAATTAATCTATTTACAGCAGTTTGAGTTGAGCTAGCTTTAGGTGCTGTTTAAGCTGCTTTCCTCATGCCTTGCATTCAGTGCTTGCATGGTGCAATTAAGGAAACTGGGGGAGCTGGAGCAGGGAGAGGAGTACCCCTGGGTGCTGAGCCTGCCTGGAGCAGGGCCCAGGCCTGGCAGGAGCCATCCCTTCCCACAGCCCTCCCTCCTGGGTACCTGGAGCACCCCCCAGGAGGAGGAGGGCACTTGAAAGCAGACCCCAGAGCTTTGGGGTGCAGCACTAGGAGCCCTGCAGGACCCCAGCAGCCTCCTCCAGAGATCCTTCAAGCTCTGGAAAGAGCTTAGCGGGGAGCATTTCTCCTGTCTGTCATTAGCCTGACATAATGTCTTTCCTGCTGGCAGCTTTCAAGCTCAGCAGGTTTGTTATAAAATTCATTACCAGATATTGCAATCACAGTCACCTTTATTGGGCTCTGCATTTACAATAATTAGGCCAATAAACACTGATTTATAAAAATGACAAACAGGAACTCCCAGTAAGCAAGAAAAATGTGCTTTCTTTAGCAAGCAGTTTCTCAGAGGGCAAAAAATGCAAGAACTCAAACCAAGGGCTGCCGCAGAGCCAGCAGCAATCTCCCAGGAATTCCCACCCGCTGGCTGAGGCCTCTCCAGGGAAGGACCCAGCACACAAATCCCAGGCCAACCACTGCCAGAGCACAGGCACACAGCCCAGGTGCCGTTCCCTCTATGGGAACAGGAATAGGTAACACAGCACTGTGATAACCCCATCCAGGCAGCAGCCAGCACAGCTCCCACCTCACCCCCAGGCACCACAGCCTTCTCTGTTTCATACCTTTTCTCTGCATTTCTCCCAGTTTCCTCTTGCTGATCCTTGCTTCTCAGCACCCTGCAAGCCTAGACACACTGAGCGCCCTCCTGTCCAGACAGCAGCCCCACAGCCAGCCCAAACCTCCTTGCTCCCAGAAGCAATCTAGCCAAGACCCCTAATAACCCTGTAGAGCTGCCACCCCATCCCCTATATACCCACCCAAGTGGGGGCAGCTGTGCAGCATTGGCTCCAGAGACCTTCAGGCTCTGCTGATGGCAGCAGCTGGTGCCCCAGGTGTCTGTGTGCCCCCCTCAGCACCCACAGGGACCCCCAGCAAGAACCCAGATAGGAACCAACCCTCAGCAGCCACAGCTCCACGTTTTTGCTAAATGAACCCCAACACTGATCTCCAGAGCTTTCCACAGCTTCCTTCTGTTTGGGACAGAGGTGGGCAATCATGTTGATCTTGTTTCACTTTATTTGTGTTATTGATTTTTAAAATAGCTGTTGTTTTTTTGCTAAAAGGCCCCTGAAGCTGTGCACGGCTTGGCTGTACATAGTGCTGAGCCAGAGGTGCAGAGAAGCAGCCAGAGCTGCGTGGAGACATTACAAGAAAGGACCAGGCAAAAACCCCATCCTCTGAGCCGCAGGAACTCAGTAAAAACCTCGACGCACCCGAGAGACCAGGACCCCATCCTCCCTTCCCCGCAACACTGAGCCTGCCAAACATGTGTGCTCTCCGAGGACAAGGGAAAATGATGCTTGCACCACTGCAGCACGATTAATTGCAAAGTACTATCAGTGGAAGATTTGATGACAATCAAAGAAAAATTAGCTGTGTCAAAATTCTTCAGTTTAATGGATTCCTTCCTGATTAGTCACATTCAACTTTGCCTTTACTTGCTTTAGGAAGTAAACAACGTTAATGCACATATCAGATGGCAGCGTAAAGCAATGCAAGAGGCCTATGCGACACTAAACTCAATTGATTCGGATGGAAATTTTAAACATGTTAACACTTTAGGTTTACTAAGTGATGATAATGATCTGTCTAGGCCCTTCACACAGTCTCGGCACAATGCAGCAATCTTCACCAAAGTTGCCTTCTGCTTGCAGGTTTCCCACTGCAGAGCTCCCAACTGGTGCCATTCAGGCTCTGCTGTCCCCAGAGGGAAACCCCACACTGTGCCCACAGCACGGGCTTGACCTCATCCACTCCTTCCTGCCAAGCTCAGAAATCACAAACGTACCTGCCTCTAACTAGGCACGCAGAAATTAACTGCTGGCAGGGGAATGCCCGCGTTACCCTGAGCAGCCATCCAGTGCCACAAGCACAGAATCCAGCGCTAGCACCTGTACGGCAGCTCCGAGTGACGTGTTTTTATCTCAGATAAAAATACACTTTTTGACAGGACGGGTGTGTGGCTCAATCACCGCGGGGCTACCTGTGTGGCTGTGACGGAGGGGCAGGCTTGGCGCAGCGAGGATGGGGACGCCGACCACTCGCTTCCGACGTTATGGCTCTGCCGTTTCCTTGCGCGCACGTCGGAGACGAGCTCTGGAATATTACTTTGGATCTTAACAACCCTTTCAGCCTTAAACTATTTTTAATAAAATGGTTTTCTGTGCGACACCAACACACGCGTAGCTTTCAATTACATTTTAGCACTCCCAGTAGGAAGTAGCTCTTTATTGGGAGAAGTGACTTATGATAGTGGAGGATTATGGCTTTGGTCTTTGCATCAAGGATATTCAAAGCTGGGCGAAAAAAGCAGTTCAGCACATACTCTGTGGATGAGGTAAACCTCATGCACAGGGAAGCGTTTCTGAAGAAGTTAAGTATTTGAAATAAAACCGTGCAGTCATCTAGTAGAACACAGACATGAAATTGTTATTTATCAAGATGAAACCGGCATTTGGATAAAATTCTCCGGCTCCGTTAATAACTTCTGTTGACGAGGGAGCCACAACGGCAGCAATGAGGTAGCTGTCCCCCGAGCCAGCCACGCAGCTCTGAGAAGCAGGATTTTTCATGGGCTGTGAACAAGGAGAAGCGTGTTGTCGGTAATCACTTTCTGAGAGGCTCCTTCAGAATGGCCACTGCGAATTCATCTTTTGTATTGTTTCCGAAAGGTTTGTCAGCTCTGCATAATCTGCTGCAGCTAGCGGCTGCGAGAGCGCCACGTGCCACGTGCACCTCGAACGTGAAGTCCAATTCCCAGAGCAGTTTTATCACAATGATTAAGTTTCTTAACTTACATCAAGTATGTCTCTGGAGTTTTCTACTGCGCTGTGAACTTAAGATAAACAGCGAATGGTGAGTAGGCTGATTACTGAAACCTCCTTTCAACAGGGGTCATACGTGGCTAATTGATAAGAGGAGATAACGCAGCCGCTCATCTGCCAAAAGTTGCAGAAAATGGGAGAGTTTGAAGCAGAAATGGCTCTAAGTAATCAGCCCAGGGGCTAACGAGCTCAGTTTATAGGGGATAGCTCCCTGTCTCCGTTTGCTGGCTGGGACACTGGAAGCAGCAGTTGGGCAGCTGGGAGCAGACACATTGCTCAGTAGGGGAGCACCCAGGAGAGCAGCACGAGAGGTGCGTCCCCGCGGGGAGACCCCCAGCAGCACATAAGTGGGGGTGAAGGTGGTCAGGGGGCCAGGGTCACTGGTGCTGCCGCCCTGCGGTGAGAGCCACGAGACACCCCATCCCACACTAAACGGTGTGATTTACTTACTGCCTATGGAATTGCCCAATTAATTCGCTATCCACATTAATATTATGGCTCATTTTTAACTTTACTGTCTCCATCGTTCCAATTTAGTGCTGCTCAGAGATGCTGCCACTGACCTTAATGGGTTTTTCATTAGAACAAAGAGCACCCTATTAATCACGGTTCGTTTTCGGCTAGAGGTTGCTGTCCAAGCCGCACTGCTTTGGGGAGCTGCTTCAGTGGTTCGGGGCCTATTTTATTTCTGCTGGGCTTCTCGCCCCTGCTCACGCTGCGCACAAACCTCCACACTGTCCAGGAGGAATTTCTTGGTATAACATTTCCAGACACAGAGATTTTATGCAGCACTCAAGCTACACTGCAGACATGATAGATTTTTTTCTGGGCAAATTGAAGCAGGAAAGGAAAGGATGCACCGATCATAGGCAATGAGCCTCTTACTGTCCTGTGCAAAAATCAAATGCCTTTTAATAATTTCAAATGTTCTTCTGGGTATCAATTAGTCACACATTAATATCAGCATTGCTTCTCTTCCTCACTTCACATCAGATTAAATTCTCCCCTGTCATACGGACTTGCACTTATTAGCTTCAAGGAAAATTAGTAATTGTTACCTCTTCATTGGCGCTGATGGGAGATTTTCATCAGAAATGTTTTTTTTTTTTACAGAGAACCTAATTGTGGTCTTAAAGCAATTGATTTTTTTCCCCTGGAATTGTTGCCTTTTCATGGAAAAAACAGATTATTCTCTGAAAACCTCTATGCTGAGCCTGAGAACCCTCCATGCACACCAAAAGAGCAGGACCTGAAGGGGCTGCACTGACCTGCGGACTGCGGCCACCGCAGCCTCTGCAAGTGTCAGAGCTGCTGACAGCAAGGACAGTTTTGTTCAGATGGGGTTTTCCTCTTGCCAAACCCATAGCTCGAGGCTGAGTACTTGTAAAGCTCCCTACAGAGAGCAATGGTGCACAGGGGTCTCATCCTGCTCCCTGCACAGCGTGGGTGCTGGGGACAAGCAGGGAGTGGGGGGTGATTATATTTATTGAGTTTTATTAACTTCCAGCCCTGGGAGGTTCTCACCTCTTCGAGCTAATTCAGCTGCCTGACTCCTGCCGGAGTTACAGTGATTGCCATTAAAAAACTTGACATTTACCTTACAACAGTAATAAAATAATAATGCCTAATTTGGTTTATGAGTGGTATTTGCAGTGTTTCCTGTGCCTGGAGTGGGGGATATTGTGAAGATGGCTGCTATGTTGATCAATTATGTCTGGTTAACAACGCTGCTGTAATTCTTTCCTGTAATCATAACCGTCTTTCAGTAGAGCAGCTCCAAAGTTCTTCTCTGAAGCAGTAATTTTGACAGGAAAAAAAAGAAAAATGTTTTCAGTCCAAAACAGATACTTCAGTTTTCAGTGAAGAACAAAAGCTTTAGAGGTGAAACTTTCTGTTGAAAAGAAAAGTGCAGAAATATAAATGCTGTGGCTGCACGTATTTGCTGCACTCAGATTTCCAAAATATTTTAGATGTTTTTGAAGGCTGACTGCGATTGCTTTCCATTAAAAAGTTATTTTTCTCCTCCAAATAACCTTCTGTCTCTCACTTGTCAATACGACTCCCTTCTGCTTTTGGCCTCTCAAATATTAAAGCCCTGAGTATTTGCATTCCTGTGGGCTTGCTGCAGCTTCAGTGGGGAGGGGCAGCTCCGGTGCGTGCCTGCCCAGGGTCCACAGCACCAGCACCAGACCTGGCCTCACTGTGCCATCCCCATCGCTGCCATTTCTTCCTCTGTTTCTCACCCAGAACAAAACTCAATGCGGATTTTCATCCTTTCGGTGCAGTTTTAATTAGCGCATGATGCTCTCAGGGCTTTTATTAGCACAAAGAGCTCAAGAAAACAGTGCGTGCCAGCTCCTCCGCACCAGGGAGCCTCCTTCCTGTTCAGACCAGAAACTTAACACTGGAGTACTGAAGCTTGTCTTAGAATGGGTTTATTTCCATGAAGAAATGGGACGATTTCAACAAAAGGAAATTTTTTCCATACAAAACTATTTAGTCAGGAAATTCCTGACTAGGCTGACTTTGGGGCAACGCAGGAGCTGCACAGAGCGAGTGTGGGGTGCCAGACCCCTCCGTGGGGGGAGCTCAGGCTTCCCACTGTGCTGCTGAGGGGGTGCTCACACATGCACGCACACACATGGATGTTTGTGCACACGCATGCATGCAAGCAAATGCACATACCCACATACCCACATACGCACACCCATGCGACGCATGCCCACGTATGCATGCACATGCACACACATGCAGGCACACAAACACGAGCACATGCCCACGTACACCCCTGCACCCCTGCTGTGCCCACAGATCCCTGCCCTGCAGGGACCCATGGCCCCAGAGCCCCCAGGAGCCCCCTTGCACAGCCCAGGTGCATCCAGCAGGTCGGTGCAGGG